TTTTTTTTTCTTTATTAGATTAATTTTTTACTTGTTTTTTAATTTTAGTTTTTAAAAAAGTCAATTTTAAAATATTTTTTTTTTTATTAGTGAATGAATAATACTAATTTTTATTATTTTTTTGTATTAGATAAATTTTTTATTTTAGTTATTAAAAAATTTAAGCTTGAAATAATTTTTTTATTAGTGAAAAAATAACATTAATTTTTATAAGATAGTTTAAAGATAAATTTCTAATTTTAATTTAAAAAAAATTAAATTAAAAATTTTTAATCAAAGAAGCAATAATATTCTTTTTAAAAAATTATCAAAAATTGTTCTTTAAAATTTGAATTAAAAAATTGGCCTTCTTTTTTTTTTATTCTTATTGTATTTAATTCGGAAGACAGTGACCTCTGATATGACTCAGGAGTAAAATTTCCGGGGAACTCCTTCAGAGGGCTCGTTAATATTAAAACTCGTTTTCGAAGATAAATTCTCGGAGTTAATAAAAGAAAAAAAAAACAAGAATTGTGTAAATATGATTTGAAATAAATTAAATTTGCAGCTTGAAAAATGTAAACTTATAATAGAAATTTCGAGTTTTTTGATTATTATTTTTTGTAATTGTTTTTGTAAATTTTGAAATTCTTGTATTAAAAAAAATTAAATTTGAATTTTTTATAAGTGAAGAAATAATATTAATTTTTATTATTTTGTTTTTGTTAGATATGACAAATTTTTTATTTGTTTTTTAAAAATTTAAGTTTGAAATATTTTTTTTATTAGTGAAGAAATAATATTAATTTTCATTAAATTGTTTAAAGATTAATTTGTAATTTATTTTTTGTAATTGTTTTTGTAAATTTTGAAATTCTTGTATTAAAAAAAATTAAATTTGAATTTTTTATAAGTGAAGAAATAATATTAATTTTTATTATTTTGTTTTTGTTAGATATGACAAATTTTTTATTTGTTTTTTAAAAATTTAAGTTTGAAATATTTTTTTTAATAGTGAAGAAAAAATATTGATTTTTTTTTCTTTATTAGATTAATTTTTTACTTGTTTTTTAATTTTAGTTTTTAAAAAAGTCAATTTTAAAATATTTTTTTTTTTATTAGTGAATGAATAATACTAATTTTTATTATTTTTTTGTATTAGATAAATTTTTTATTTTAGTTATTAAAAAATTTAAGTTGTTAAAAAATTTAAGCTTGAAATAATTTTTTTATTAGTGAAAAAATAACATTAATTTTTATAAGATAGTTTAAAGATAAATTTCTAATTTTAATTTAAAAAAAATTAAATTAAAAATTTTTAATCAAAGAAGCAATAATATTCTTTTTAAAAAATTATCAAAAATTGTTCTTTAAAATTTGAATTAAAAAATTGGCCTTCTTTTTTTTTTATTCTTATTGTATTTAATTCGGAAGACAGTGACCTCTGATATGACTCAGGAGTAAAATTTCCGGGGAACTCCTTCAGAGGGCTCGTTAATATTAAAACTCGTTTTCGAAGATAAATTCTCGGAGTTAATAAAAGAAAAAAAAAACAAGAATTGTGTAAATATGATTTCAAATAAATTAAATTTGCAGCTTGAAAAATGTAAACTTATAATAGAAATTTCGAGTTTTTTGATTAAAAAAAAATAAATCCAATTTTTTAATTAATAAACAAAAAAAAATTAATGACAAAGAAGAAATAAAAAATTTAATTAGATTTATCAATATACACGGAAAGAATAAGATTATACTGGATATAATCCCAGATTATACTGAGTATAATCCAGATTATAATGAGTATAATCCAGATATTATCCAGTATAATCTGAATTATACTAGCTACCATTTGAAATTTTTTTTCGCCTCAGATGTCACTGAGTATAATCTGAGATGGTATCCACTGTCGTCTTGTTCTTTCCGTGTAGTTTGTAAACATATTAATAATTCTAGTATTACAAATATGTCAATACAAGTATGAAAAATATGACGTATTTTACATACTTGTGTCAATTAAAATTATTTAGAAAGTAAATTTTATCGAGAATTTACTTAAGAACTGCAATGTTTTTTTTTTATTACTAAGTAATTTATTCGTACTAAGTCGGCTGATTAAAATAGAATGTTTTTAAATAATAAATTTATTTATTTAATAAATTTAAATTTAATATTGAATTATTTAAATATTAAAAAATATCCGAAATTTTTAAAAAAATTATTAAAGGCTTTTTTATACCTATTAAATTTTAAATTTTAAAAATTAAAAATTAAATAATTTTGTTTTAAATTTTTATTAAAAAATTTTGCTAACGCAAAATTTTAATAAAATAAAATAAATATAGAATTTTTAAGTACAAATAACCTGAATTGAATTAAAGTAAATAAATAACAATAGTATTTTTTAAAATTACATACATATAGCCTATTTTTAAAAAACTTTAATATTTACTTAAATTAAAAAAAAAATCCCGGCTAAATAAATACTTACAAAAAAGAAACGATTTGTTTTTTTTAGTTTGTGATTTTTAATAAAGCTTATCGCATATGATATAATTAATCTTATAATTCACAAGTAATTAACAATTATGCAATAGATCTATTTTTCTGATATTAAATGAATAAAAAATGTTTATATTATGAAGTCATATTTATTTGTGAAGATAATTTCACACACAAAGGACCTTTTAATATAATTGACTAATTATTTTCTGTAAACTCATTAATTACCATCAGAAAAAAATTATTTTATTTTTATTTAATATATTATTATTAAAAGAATGATTAATATTATTGAAATGATTTCTTTTATATAAATTGTGGAAAGTCTATTATAAATTATAAGTAATTATTTATTTGCTATAAAAAATTATTCGAAAGCTTCTTTTTAAATTTCTAACATTTTTTCTTTTATATTTTTTTTCTTCATGAGTTTATACTTATTTAAATTTTTTAATTCTTAATTTAAAAATTTTTTTATTTTATTTTTTTTTTTTTCATTAAAAAAATAATAAATAATATATTAAAAGAAGACTATAAAGATATTATTAAATCACAATTTAAAGTTTGCCCGTTTATGCTAATTAAACAATTTATTACCGCGTCTAGTATTGTATTATCTACTGTGAAAACATAAATAATTATTTAATTATTATTATAGAGTTTTATTAGCAGCGTATTAACTTTTTATGCTTACTGATTTAATTAAAAAAACCGAATAGAAATGATTAAATTAATTGGCAATAATTAACTACGGAACATTTATTTTAAATCGTTTAATTGTTTTTAATTATTAAGCGCGAAATCGTATTTTTTATTTATTTTATCTTTAGAGTAGATTTGATTTTATTTTATTTTATAGTAAAGAATATTTTAATAATAGTAAAATATTTTTTTTTCCACTAATATCATTTATTTTTTAAAATTAACATATTTTTATTTTAAGTAAATTTTAATCCTTCAAATTGAATTAATAATTAAAAATTGATAAATTTAAATTGAACTATGTGAATAAAATATAAAAAAAAATAATTTAATGACCCTACGCAAGAATCGAACCCAGGTCTTTCAGCAGCGTTCTAATTGTCCTCTAACTTAAGCCAAGACACTCCAAATTTAATTATTTTTAATTAAAAATACGAGTAAGAATTTTATTAAATAAATTATTACAAAATTTAATACACTAAAAGAGTTTAAATTACTTAAAAAAAAAAAAAACTAAATGTCATTAAAATTATTAATTATTAATTAATGTTACATTATTAAGTGTTTCTATAAAATTTTAACTATTAATAAATTTCTAAGAATTTTTATAAAGTTTAAAAACAATTGTATAAAAAAAATTGATATTTTAGATGAAGCACAATATTAAATTAAAAGATTGAGGTTCGAATCCTGGCTAGGTCCGGTAAGATTTTTTTTTTTTTTTAATCAAAATTTCAACTTTTAGAAATTATAATTAAATATTTTAATTCGTTTAAAAATTAACTAAAGATCATATAATAAAAAATAAAAATAAAAACAACTATAATAGTTAAAAAAAAATTGATATTTTAGGAGACGCAAAATATTAAATTAAAAGAATCAGGTTCGAATCCTGGTTAAGTCAATTTAATTTTTTTTTTATCAAAATTTTAATTTTTTAAATTCTAACAAATTAAAATAAAAAGTTTCAATTTATTTAAAAATTAATTACAGATCATGTAAAAAAAAAAATTTTTTTTTAAGACACTAGAGAACCTTAATAGAAATTGTAAAAAAATAAATAAATAAATACCCCAATGTCAGTTAACATAAAAATAATCTTGTTGAATGTACAAAATGTCAACAACAATCATTATAAATCTATTTATAAACATAAAATAATATTTACAATAGAATTATAATTTAAGTAGTAATAATAAAATTTTTTTTTACACTATTGTAAATTCCAATTTAAAATAATTACAATAATTATTTATATTTATATTTATTATTTATAAGTATATGCAGATTGAAATAAAGATAACACATGTGTCCTTATATATAAGATAGGTAATTGCAATAGCATGTGCCAATGTGCGGGAATTTGTGTTACTTTCATAGATAAATCCTTGAGCTAAAATTTATTTCTTCTTAAAATTCTTTTGAGTTTGTCAAAAATATTTGAGCTGACAAATTAATCCTCAGCTTGAATATAAAAAAAAAAAAAATCTTCAACCTCGTCTAGATTTCAATGAGTAATTACAAATGAATTACGATCTCGATAAAAGCTACTGTCTTCCGTGTTTATTATATTTTATTTAAAATATAAAATATTTATTCCGGAACACGCGACGAAACGTCGGGTATAAAAAAGAACGGCATTAAAGTAAAGTAACTATTTCATAACACATCGGAGTTTAATTAAGGAGTTTAATGTTAAGAGGAACAAGTAACAAGTTTATTTTTATCCGTAGGCTGGCTGAAAAATCCGTACGGGAATTTTAAAAGAAGAAGAAATAAGGATAAATTTATTTATTTATTTATTGAGAGTAAGTGAGAAAATGAAGACTAAAGTGGCTAAAACAAAACTGGTTCCACCGGACGGAGGATGGGGATGGGTTGTTCTTTTTTCTGCTCTTCTTGTTAACTTCCTGATACCCGGCACGGTAAAGTCCTTTGGAGTCCTCTTTGTCGAATTCCTCCAGGTATTTAAGGCCTCACCTACTGCCGCTTCGTGGATGCCTGCGTTATGTTACTTTCTTTACAGTTCATTGGGTAAGTTTATCTTTTATTACCTCTTTATTATACGGAAAAAGGTTTTATGTCATCATATTTGCGGTTTTTGGATAATAAAATTACTATTTTTAGTTTTTATTTTGTAAAAAAAAAAAAAAAATTTTTACAGCTAAATTATGTAAAGAAATTTATCATCATTTTTTTTTAGAAATTTTTATATTAATTAATGTTTTATTAATTGAAAGAATTATTCAGTAAATAGTTTAATATTAAATAAGGTCTTATTGAAGAAAAATTAAAAATTTACTTATATTTTAAAACTTAACTCTCTTATAGCGAGAAATTTTTGAGACCATGCGCCACCTGTTGGAAATTTTTAGTAATAAATTTGGTCGAAAAATTACATATGGAGGTATATGACCTAACTAGACCAGAAATGTAATTTTTGTGACGAAAAAACGTATTTTTAATTGTAAATTTTTATAATAAAGAAAAAAAAATTTTATAAAGTAATTATAACTTTTTTTTTTTTAGAATTTTTATGCTAATTAATGTTTTTCTAAATAAAAAATAGGTTTAGTCAATCATTTTTAGTTATATGAGGTCTCATTCGAGAAAAGTTAAAAATTTACTTATATTTTGAAACTTAACTCTCTTATAACGAGAAAGTTTGAAAACCATGCGCCACCTGTTGGAAATTTTCAGTACTAAATTTGGTTGAAAAATTATATATGACCATATTAGACCAGCTGATGATTTTTTGTGACAAGAAAAATATTTTTATAGTTAAATAATGTACAAAAATTTATTATTGTTGTTTTTTTTAAAAATTTTTATGTTAATTAATGTTCTATTAAATAAAAATATGTTTAGTAGCTGAATTTAAGGTATATGAGGTCTCATTAAAGAAAAATTAAAAATTTACTTATATTTTGAAACTTAACTCTCTAATAACGAGAAAATTTAAGACCATGCGCCACCTGTTGGAATTTTTTAGAACTAAATTTGATCGAAAAATTGAATATACAGGCATATATGACCATATTAGACCAGCCAATGATTTGTAATCACAAAAACAACATATTTATATATTTTAAATAATATAAAATTGCAACTTCTTTATTTTTAGGGCCATTGTCCAGTGTACTATCAATAAAATACTCCTACAAAACAGTAACGCTAATTGGAGGGACTTTTGCAGCTGTTGGAATGATGACCAGTTACTTCGCTACCTCTGTTTCTTATTTATACGTCAGGTAATACCAAAACTATTTTTTTTTTTCCATAAAAAATCTTTCTTCTTTACCTAATAACATTTATTTAAATCCTTAGAAAATTTTCCTAACCTAATAAGAAGCAAACCTTAATACCTCCAACCCAACCTTGAAGCCTTGTAAGATCAAGAAAAAATTTCCACTATTTATTTCCCGGTGCATATTTCTTCTCAAAAATAACCTGAAAATTTTTTTTCCAGCTACGGCTTGATGGTCGGCATCGGAGCGGGTCTAACCTTCCCTCCAACAATCTACATAGTAACAGCGTACTTCGAGCGCCTGCGCGGACTCGCCAACGGCCTGTGTATATCAGGGAGCGCAATTGGTACAATAGTGTTACCGCCATTTCTTCAATACCTCCTGAACCATTTCGGCCACCGGTAAAAACTCCTCAACTCTGACTTACCCTTAAAACACTAACCTCTATAATTTTTCAGAGGCGCCGTGCTGATAATGGGAGCCCTGACCCTCAACACACTAGTCTGCGCTCTGCTTTACCACCCGGTGAGCGAGCACATGAAGGAAGTTCCAGTAGAGGGCATTGACAACGCCGCGATGACACTCGACGAGCCGATAATTGAGTCGAAGATTACCGAAGGAAAATCACGACCCGGAACTCCGAACAATTCAAACCACGATCGCCTCACTGAGTTGTCAAAATATCTTGAAAAAAATCTCAACCCACCATCTATGACCGTCGTCAATGAAAATGAAGGTGAAAACGAGCTAGACCAATCTGAGTTCCAGGAACCGAAACATGTTCCTGGAACCAAGTTCCAGGAACCCAATCATGTTCTAGGAACCAAGTTTCAAAAACCGAACTATGTTCCAGGAACCGAGTTCCAGGAACCGAACATTCTTCCAGGAACCAAGTTCCAAGAAAATAATGTTCCAAGAACCGAGTTTCAAAAACCGAACTATGTTCCAGGAACAGAGTTCCAGGAACCGAGCCATGTTCCAGGAACCAAGTTCCAAGAACCGAACTATGTTCCAGGAACTGAATTTGAGGAACATACTCAAGTTCTAAGAACAGAGTTCCAGGAACAGAACCATGTTCCAGGAACCAAGTTCCAGGAACCGGACCATGAAAAGAATGAAATAGTTCTACCAATAGATACTGTAGCACTTAGTCGTACAAATTCCACCCGAGTTAGCAAAAAGAACTTCCATCTTTCCCGCCATGGCAGTATCGTCTCCGAAATGGGGCCAGTTGCCCTCAGCCCCAGGAACAATGTTCCAGGGCTGTTCCGACGGTTCTTCAAGACTCCGAAGAAAACTCGTGGCAAGAACAAGAACAAGCTTGAACAAGATGAAACTTCTCAAGGAACCGGAACCATAACAAGCACAGACTCTAGCGCCACCATCGCCAGTTCCGAGTCCAGCGCCACCATCAGCAGTTCCGACTCCAGTTCCACGGAAGACAACAAGTTCTTCGACTTCAGCGTCCTCCGCGATCCACTTTATATAGTTATTTTGATCTCTAATTCGACTTCCGCCATTAGTAACACGAACTTCATGATCTTGCTGCCATCTTACGCAATTTCTGAAGGCTTTGACAAGAACATGTCCGCCCTGCTGCTGTCTATAGTCTCTGCGCTGGATCTGGTAGGGCGCATAGGTGGCGCTTCGCTCTCGGACATCGACTTTGTGCCAAAGTATTATTATTTTGTGGGAGGCTTAGGATTGAGTGGAATTGCGCTTGCGCTGTTACCAATGGCGACTTCTTATATGATGTTGTCCTTCTTTTGCGCACTTTTTGGACTTTCTTCGGGGATGTATATTGGAATTACGACTGTAATTTTGGCGGACATGTTAGGCACGGAAAAATTGAGTTCTTCCTATGGAATTTCTTTGTTTGTTAATGGCGTACTGCAGTTAGTTGGACCGCCGGTCTGTGGCGCCATCTATGAAAGAGTCGGGACTTATAAACCGATTTTTTTGGCTTTTGGCATTATTTTGATACTTGGAACGGCTCTGTGGGCTGTTGTGCCGCTTATTAAGAGGAAGCCTAAGGAACAACAAGAGGAATGATGTTTTTTTTTTTTTTTTTTTTCTCTAGGTTAATTAGGAATTTTAGTTGAAAAAAAAGGTTTTCATTTTGCCCGCATTTTTTTTATCTAGTCATATTTTAAGGTGTACAAACGAATGACAGAATTTACTTTGGATTGATGTTTGAGAAAAGTTGGTTCTTTTGTTTTGATTTTTTGAGTTGAAGAAATAATCAAGAGGACTGGCAGCTTTTTAGTATGGTAGAAAAATTCATTTAATTTATATTAAATTAAATAAATTATAACGAGGCAGTGTAATTAAAAATTATTTTTTTCATTAATTAAAAATTATTTTTGTTCTTTAATTTTAAGTTAAAAAAATTTTTTAACTTTTTTACTTTTAAATTTATATTGTTAAAAGAATTTATGATAAGTATTTAGGCAGCATTCAAAAATAGATACTTAATTAAGAAATGACCTTGTATCTTGTGAATTAATGACATTTTTAATGATATAAGCTCATCTTGATGTTACACTCATCGAGTCCTTTTATTTGAGTACCCACATCAATTTTTCATATATTTTATATATTTATAGATATTATATATGATTAATATATCAAAAATGTATGTGGGTACTCAAATGAAAGCTTTTGACGAGTGTAACATCA